TTTTGAGAAATATGGGAGGGCAAATTTTGGGGTACAACAACTGCGCTGCGAGAATAGGATTGGACCCGTGATTTTTAGAGGGCAGTTTAAGATGGCTGTCGTGGGATCGTGGGTCACGCCCTCCAATAGTTAGATGGGGAGTTGCCCAACGGTCCCTAACTTGAGTTATCTTTGAGCTTATCATTCGAAAGACAAATGTAGACTCAACCCAGATCAATAAATATAAGTGTTGCTTGATGGCACCTAAAAACCTATATAACCACAATTAAACAATTATAACAGTTAGAAAATGTAATTTCTATCATGCAATAATTTTATAAAACAGAAAAGATCTTCCAAAAGTAAATTCATGGTTCAATTAAACTAATGCTATTTGAAATAGCCTTTGTATGATCTATAACCAACTCCTCTCCATCATAGTTTACTCTCCTAACTTCATGTACTACCAACTCCTCTCCATCATAGTTTACTCTCCTAACTTCATGTACTTCCAGGGCCATGATACTTGTTAAATCAATAAAATATATGTCTCACTAAAACATATAACTTAAACCGATTAAATCAATAAAATAAAGACAAAAATTAATTACACAGATACAAATAAAGAGTAAGTCAACATAACTATAAGCAAAACATGTGGTGGGCGAACTTGAATTTAAATAGACCAGTAATAAATTAAAAGAGAAAAAGAAAGAAATAATCTACTATATGAGAATCAAATCTTAAACAGATTTGTGTGAGCTTTGTATTCACCAAAACTCTTCCGTGTTCAAAACACCATAACATACATAGTAGCAAGATTTGAATAATACCTTGCTTTCTGTTCTTCTTCTCACATGCAGCTACAAAATTCCTATCAGCTGTTCTTCTTCTCACATGCAGCTACGAAATTCCTATCTGCAGCTCCCAAGTAAAGCTGGTTTGGACTCTTGATGGTAGCATCTAAATCTTACTCACTTTCTTGAAGAAATATCTCAAGAATCTGAAAACTCAAACATCAAAATAAAGATAAAAGTTTAAAATAAATATTAAAACAAAAATACAACTTTGTAAAAAGATTACCTATCCTACTTAAATCTAATACTTAAATAAACAAATATAAACAAAGTAAATGAGAGAGTGAAAGAAGACTTTAGGTATTCTATAACAAACTCGCCTCTTTTTCAAAATGCAGGGGCTATACTTCATTTCCAAAAAAGAAAAAAATTGTGAACAATTTAAAGAATGATTCGAGATGATTCTGGTTGACAAAGGTATCTCTCACGTTTTTAGGGTTTACTTACATAAATCGTTGGGATGGCTATTTGTAGATTTAGAGTTTTTTTTCTTGATGTTGATGGTTTTTCACATAAATCGTTGAGATGGTTTTTTTCCACATAAAGAAGTAATTTTTTTTTTGAGAAATCTGGATATTATAAGGCTTTGTATAAACCTATAATAATATGTTTTTGCATTTCACCAATGAGAATATATCTGTTTTTGCTATTAGCAGGTCAAACAACTTGTATGCATGGGATCTCAGCTCGGGTCGAGTCCATCATACCCATACTTTTTATTAACACAAATAAAGCTTATACCGAGTAGGCTGCTCAAATGGTTGCAGGTCTAGACACAGGTGTATCGTGGATTATGTGAAGCAAGAAGATTCTCCTAATCCTATTGTAAGCAATCTTTTCTTTTTACAAATTTTAGAAACGTTTTGTGTAGTGTGTGACTTTGAAGCTTTTTTGTTTTTTACTAAATTCTTATCCTGATCCTTAAACTTTTTATGACCTGTTTAGTGGTGGGGTTTATAACAGTGCCATTCTTCATGTTTTAATTGTGTCTAAATGTACCATGGAAGAATGAGGTTGTATCATTGAGTATCCATATGTTATGTTTTACATTATGCTGTTCAACAAATCAAAAAATTATTTATAACTGACTGGAACATTGCAGGGTCTCAGACAATGGATTAAAGGGTTCCATTAATTATCAGGTCATTTCTCCAAAAGACCTAGCAAAATCTGTTTCATCTGAAGCAGGCTGGTCAAATTACATAGTATTACACTAATTTTTAAGACTAATTTCGTAGTATGTATTATGCAGTGAAAGATGAAGTGCTATTTGTATCAGCTTGTGTTAGTTGTTCTGAGTAAGTTCTGTTCAGTTGTAATGCTGAGCTGTCTTAGTTTGTTAGATCATAACAGAATTCTGTTATTCTAGCTCTCTATATAAACAGAGCTATTATTGTATCTCTAATTAATAATGAATACAATTGATATTTGATCTAACTGTATTTTCTGTTAGCTTTATGATATTCTATCATGGTATCTAGAGCATTCTTTTCGATCCAGTAGTGGTTCTCCATGGATTCCCTATTTCCTTCTTCGCAAGTGAAGTTGTCACATCTTATCTCTGTCAAGCTTGATGATAAGAATTTCAAGCAGTGGAAGCAACAAATCGATGGTGTTGTTCGTGGCCATCGGTTACAACGATTTGTTACTGTACCGGTGATTCCACCGCCGCCATCGTCTGGTTTTGATTCGTCACCTCACGGTGTGAATTCTGCGTATTGCGAGTGGGAACAACAAGATGCGCTCATATGCACTTGGTTGTTATCCACCATCTCCGATTCCATTCTTCCCAAACTCGTTGACTGTAGACATGCATGGCAAGTCTGGACGGAGGTTCATCGGTACTTCGGTACACTCCTATCCACCAAAGCTCGTCAACTGCGCTCGGAATTACGCCGCCTTACGAAAGGCACTCTTACGATTGCTGAATTGATGATTCGTGTTCGCGAAATCAGTGAATCACTGGTTTCGATCGGTGATCCCGTTCCTCTTCGAAACCTAATTGAAATTGTGCTCGATTCTCTTCCTGAGGAATACGACTCCATTGTCGCTGCCGTCAACAGCAAAGAAGAAGTCGGTTCACTCGATGAACTTGAGTCGTCGCTGCTGGCACATGAATCGCGTCTGGATAAGCATCGCAAAGAAGTTCTCACTGAGCCGGTGACGGTCAATTTAACTCAGGCGTTGACACTGTCGTCGCCGGCTACGTCAGATCATTCCAGTGCTGGTACTGAGGCCTTTCCACAGGGAACAAGTCATGTTACTGCCAATGCTGAGAATCATAGCTATGGTGCACGTGGTGGCCGTTCAAATCGTGGAGGCGGTCGTTTTGGCCGTGGAGGTGGCCGTTTTGGCAAAACTCAGTGTCAGATTTGTCACAAATCTGGACACGATGCGTCCATCTGCTATTATCGTTACTCAAATTCTGCTGCTGGAATGTATCAGTCTCAGAGAGCTCCATACAATCCTTTCATGATGCCATCACGACCTATGTACCAACCTCCCTTTAGCTATGGTGTTCCAAGAGCTGCTTCCTCTCGTGCATCTTCTCCACAGGCTTTCTATGCAGGCACTGATGTTGGCTTCAGTAATCAATGGTGGTATCCTGATTCCGGTGCGTCCCATCATGTTACTCCTGATCCCTCAAATGTGTCTGAATCTATTTTTGTGCCTGGAACTGAGCAAGTGTTTATGGGAAACGGCCAAGGTTTGTGTATTCATTCTATTGGTTCTATGTCTTTTCCTTTACCTAACCATCCTCACATGTCTCTCACTTTGCAAAATCTCTTACTCGTGCCTCACATCACTAAAAATCTTATGAGTGTTAGCAAATTTGCTCAGGACAATAAGGTTTTCTTTGAGTTTCACCCAAAATTTTGTGTTGTCAAATCCCAGGCTTCTTCTGAAGTTTTACTTCGTGGTCTGGTGGGCGCAGATGGTCTCTACAAATTTCCTGTTCCAGCCTTACAAAATTTCAAGTCCTCACCAAGTCTCAACTCCTGCCTAGCTGAGTCTTCAAAACAGTGTAGTAGTAGTACTTCAAGTAGGTCTGTAGGCAATACAAATGATTCATACAAGTGTATTTCTCTGTGTACTGCTGATCTATTCATGAATAAAGATAATTCCATTTGTTCCACTTTACCTTCTCTCAATGCTACTACTTATAATTCTTTATCATCTCAGCATGTGAATAATTCTTTGGCTATAGCAACAAATAAATATGTTTTATGGCACTCTCGTTTAGGTCATCCTCATCATCATGCTCTCACTGAGGTGTTTAAACTGTGTCAATTTTCTGCTCCTTCTAAACCACCTGCAGAACTGTGTTCAGCTTGTTGCTTAGGCAAATCTCACAGGCTTCCCACCTCTCTGTCTGCCACTGTTTACAAGCAGCCTTTTGAGCTTGTTGTTTGTGATCTATGGGGTCCTGCTCCCATGCTGTCCTTAGGGGGTTATAGCTATTTCCTAACTTGTGTTGATGCCTTCTCTCGCTTTGTGTGGGTCTTCCCTCTTAAACTTAAGTCTGATACTCTCTCTCAATTTGTTCAATTCAAGAAAATGGTTGAACTTCAATTTAACTTTCCTATCAAAAGTGTGCAGAGTGATGGAGGGGGTGAATTTAGGCCATTCACCAAGTATCTCAATGACTTAGGCATAGTCCACAGATTCACATGCCCACATACCCACCATCAAAATGGCATAGTTGAGCGCAAACATCGCCATATTGTTGAAACAGGTCTAGCCTTACTTGCACAGTCCACATTGCCCTTGAAATTTTGGGACCATTCCTTTGTTACAGCAGCCTACCTAATTAATAGACTCCCTAGTGTCAGTCTCAATAATCAGTCCCCTTATTTCAAACTTCTCAACAAGCAACCTGATTATTCTTGCCTAAGAGTTTTTGGATGTTCCTGTTTTCCTTTTCTCCGCCCTTACAACTCTCACAAACTTGATTACCGGTCTCAAGAATGTATATTTCTAGGGTATTCCACTTCTCATAAAGGCTACAAGTGCCTAGCTCCTAATGGTCACATCTACATATCTAAGGATGTCTTGTTCCAAGAGTCCATATTCCCTTATTCCAAATTATTTTCTGAATCTTCTAAACCTTCCTCATCTACCACACCTCAATCTTCCACTTTTTCTTATTCCAGTGCGCCTCTCATGTCACCAACTCCTATTTCTCAAGTCAGTTCTGACTCATCCATTTCTGCTACTCCTCTTTCTTCTACTCGCATTCATTGTACCTCCAATAGCTTACATAACAATGTCCCTGAATCACCCAACTCAGCTGAGCAGTCCCCTGTTCTGTCTAGTTCTCCCAACACCTCTACATCCACACCTGCTCTTATCACTTCTGATTTAGCAGAAGCAAGTACCATATCCCCATCTTCTTCCCCTGCTATATCTCAATCTGTAAGTCCCACTTCCTCTCCTAATTCTCAGCCTTTCATCAATCCTTTTAACACTCACCCAATGCAAACAAGAGCCAAAAGAGGCATTGTACAACCTAAACTAAACCCTACCTTGTTACTGACTCATCTTGAACCAACCTCTATTGGTCAAGCCTTGGCTGTTCCTCACTGGTACCAGGCAATGAAGAAAGAATATCAGGCACTGATGAGAAATCAGACCTGGACACTGGTGGAACCATCTGAATCAAGGAAACCCATCGGCTGCAAGTGGGTTTTTCGGGTAAAAGAGAATTCTGATGGTACTCTTAACAAATATAAGGCCAGATTGGTGGCCAAAGGCTTCCATCAGCAGGTTGAAAGTGATTTTTCTGAAACCTTCTCACCTGTTGTAAAACCTGTTACAGTAAGGACAGTTTTGACACTTGCCGTCACTCACAAGTGGACCATCCAGCAAATCGATGTGAATAATGCCTTCCTCAATGGCACTCTTGAGGAGGAAGTGTTTATGCAGCAGCCACCTGGATTTGAGTCTTCTAATAAGTCCCTTGTGTGTAAGTTGAATAAGGCAATTTATGGGTTAAAACAGGCCCCAAGGGCCTGGTTTGACAAGCTTAAAAATGCCCTCATTCAGCAAGGTTTTCAGGCCAGTAAATGTGATCCTAGTCTATTTTTTTTGCATCAGGGCAAACTTCAGATAATGATTCTGGTTTATGTGGATGATATTATCATCACAGGAAATTCTGCTCCATTCATTACAGCCCTAATCAAACATCTCAATGAGGTTTTCTCTCTAAAACAGTTGGGCAAATTAGACTATTTTCTAGGCATTGAAGTCACACATTTGCCTAATGGCTCACTTCTGCTATCTCAAAGCAAATACATCACTGATTTACTAGCCAAGGTGAACATGACCAGTGCAAATGGTATGCCCACACCCATGGTTTCCAGCAGCAAATTATCCAAAATAGGTTCTATTAAGGTTGATGATCCTACAGAATTCAGATCAGTGGTTGGGGCTCTGCAGTATGCTACACTAACTAGACCAGAAATCTCTTTTTCTGTCAATAAAGTTTGTCAATTTATGTCCAATCCTTTGGAAGAACATTGGAAGGCAGTGAAGAGAATATTAAGGTATTTAAGTGGTACAAAACATCATGGTCTGCTCATTCAACCAGCCTCTCTTCAGCAGCCTCTGCAATTACTTGGTTTTTGTGATGCTGATTGTGCTTCAGACCCAGATGACAGGCGATCTACCTCTGGTGCCTGTGTGTTTCTTGGCCCTAATCTGATATCTTGGTGGTCTAAAAAGCAGCAGTTAGTGGCCAGGTCCAGTGCTGAAGCAGAGTATCGCAGCATGGCACATCTGGCTGCAGAATTGTTATGGGTGCAGTCTCTGCTCAGGGAGTTGCACTGTCCTTTTCTAACTCCTAAAGTTCATGCGACAATCTGAGCACTGTAACTCTTGCTCACAATCCAGTTCTCCATAATAGAACTAAGCATATGGAGCTGGACATTTTCTTTGTTAGAGAAAAAGTCCTCAACAAGAGTCTTGTTGTGGCTCATGTCTCTGCTCAAGACCAATGGGCTGATGCACTTACTAAACCTCTATCTGCAAACAAGTTTCTGCCCCTTCGTTCTAAGCTCAGAGTTTTTGACAAACATAGTCTGCTAGAACTACCCCCAGCTTCAAAGGGGGAATGAAAGATGAAGTGCTATTTGTATCAGCTTGTGTTAGTTATTCTGAGTAAGTTCTGTTCAGCTGTAATGCTGAGCTGTCTTAGTTTGTTAGATCATAACAGAATTCTGTTATTCTAGCTCTCTATATAAACAGAGCTATCATTGTATCTCTAATTAATAATGAATACAATTGATATTTGATCTAACTGTATTTTCTGTTAGCTTTATGATATTCTATCATGCAGTTCTCTCTCTTATTCTCTTCTTGGCCTTTATGGGGAAGGGATTACTGAATTGCTTTCTATTAATGCTATTAGTTATTCCGTTTTGGTTTTTTCTATCATTGTTGCTGCTGTTGAATTTTTAATTTCCCTTTTCATTTTTGTTGGATAGTGCAAAGGGAAGAAATCTCAGGATCCTCTCAATATGGCACTTCTGTCTGTTGGTGGAGAGGTAATATCGCATATGTATAGATAGTTTGTGTTACAGCTTTACTATTTTGTATTTGTTGTTCGCTTGATGTTTAGAGATTCCTACCAATGAGTGCAGTGGTATTGCTTCACTTTAAACTCTTTGATTCAATTGTGTTGTGCGGGTTGAGAAACATTTATGACTGCCACTTTTGGATGAATCAATGTGAAGGATGTTGCAAACTCCCCATCCATCTCCACATACCAGAAGGAGTTAAGATGACTCACCATGTACTCCTCTTCCCCTCGTACTGTAACAATCTTTCCCTTCACTGGATATTTTAACATTTGATGGAGCGTAGAAGTCATTGCCCCAGCCTTATGAATCCATGGACGATCTAGCAAGCAAGAATAAGATGGTCGAATATCCATCACATAGAACGTAGACGCAAAAGTATGGGAACCAAGCTTAACAGGGACGTCTACCTCCCCGTGCACCATCCTTTTAGACCCGTCAAAGGCCCTAACCACAATATTACTTGGCTTCAAAACCAACCCTTCACAATATAGCCGGTCTAATGCTTTCTTGGGTAGAACATTTAATGAGGACCCGGTATCCACCAATACGTGGGCCAGAGTAGTGCCCCTGCACTCGATCGAAACATGCAGAGCGTCATTGTGATTCCTTCCTTTAGCAGTCAGATCTGCGTCGGAGAAACTCAACCCGTTGTCAGCGGTCAAACTAGCCACACAATCTTTGAATTGATCAGCATATGTTTCCTGCGGTACATGCGCAGTTTTAAGGAAAGCAATTAAAGCCTTTGCATGGGCTTCTGAGCACAACAATAAAGACAACATGGAGATCTTCGATGGGGTCTGTCCCAGCTGCTCGACTACGTTGTAGTCGCTCTTCTTGATAATCTTCAGAATTTCCTCTATCTCCTGTCTAGAGGTTTCTACAACAATCTTCTTAGGCGCCTCCGTCCGGACAGGCTCACCTGTGATCTCTTTGCCCCGAACGTCAGATGACTCGGCAACAAGGGTGATAATTGGAATATGAACTGGGGCAGTAGCTGATGTACTGGCAGATGGAATGGCAACAGGCTTTCGAACAGTTGGAGGAGAAATCTCAGGAGAGAAGAGTCTTCTACTTCAGGTGACCTTGCTAGACCCGACAATATTGCTGACATCAGTATCAGCCTCTTCAACCTTCAAGTCTTGTTTGATCCCATGATAATACACATCGGCCCCATAGTGCCACGGGACAGCCTTATCCGAAGTGTAAGAGATATGACCAGGAATAATAATGATTAATGGAGCAACTCTCAGAACAGATGTAATCTTAACAGGCTTTCTCGAGGAAGCCTTGGAAGAATTGGCGGAAATGGTTATAATGGAAGCATCTTCAACGGGAATCAACAGGATCAAAGTCTTCTCGAACGGGATCTCTTTGTTATCCATCAAGCGTTGAACACCTGACTTCAATAAATGGCAATCAGTAGGCAGGATTGAACATAGGTGGCAACCTTCGTCACAACCCGGAAATAAACCGGCCGATAATAGATTCTTCTTTACTGTCATCAACAGAGTAGAAATGTCTTCCACAGAGGTCACAAATGAATCATCGTCCACAACATTTACTCCATGCTTGGGCATAGGAGCAGTCATGACATTAAGCTTTTCTGGTGCGTCAAACTCAATTTCTTTAGCTTCAATCAAATCTTGCACCTTATTCCTCAAGGCCCAGCAGTTGTTGGTATCATGTCCTGGGCTATCAGAGTGATAGGCACAGCGGGCGTTCGGATTATACAGTGGAGAGGTGGTACTGAGATTCTCCTATGAGTGCAGTGGTATTGCTTCACTTTAAACTCTTTGATTCAATTGTGTTGTGCGGGTTGAGAAACATTTATGAATGCTACTTTTGGATGGATCAATGTGAAGGATGTTGCAAACGTGCATATTTTGGAAAATGACTATGCTTCGGCTAATATAAGATATTGTTTGGTTGGAAGAGTGATACATTTCTCTGAACTGAAATCGGCTGGAAACAAATATGTGAATGCTGCTTTTTATCTCAATGTCTATGATTTGATCGATGTTTGTGGCTTATTAATTACTATTAGTTTGGATCTTCACAGTGGAATTATTTGAGTAGAAATCACGGTGCAGTGTGGGACACAAGTAGGATTCCACAAGTGGCATTACAATCAAGGTTTTTGGTTACATCAGGGTATGATGCAGAAATGGATTTGGGCAGAGAAGGTTCTACCAACTGAGAAATTACACAAGAGGGTTGCTTATGACGTTACATATTTTTTCTTAACATGTATGGCACAAGATGGAATGACCTAAATGTATTGTGGTTATATTGCAGAATTCTTGCTGGATGACTTACATGTTGCCGAAGATCTTGATGTTTAAACAACATATGCTGCTTCACATGTTGCTACTGCAACAGCTAATCTAATGTACAAGCAAGACACTTTCCTGGACGATAAGGATTTGATGATAGGCCCAGGCAAACAGTGTCTGAAATGGCTGCAGCACCCCCAATGAATGTTGACATTTATACTTACATCAACACTGAAAATGCTATACTTCAGGGATCTCGGTAACAAAGAAAGTTTCCTTCCTATTGTGTGATGTAGTTTATGTTCTTTAAATTCATTCAAACTAATTTGAACAGTAGAACCACCAAAGTTAAGTATCAGGTTGATACATGCTACTTCCCAAAGAAAAAACATGCCTTATATAAATTTCTATATGATATTAATCGCTAGAATTTATTGTACATCATGTGTTCGGTTTTCTACAGGTAGTTGTTATAGAGACTGATGGACCATTATGTGGCATGGTTAGACAACTTTCAATTTATCGCTACTGCTGTTGTTTCTGTAGTAGTCCGGTGAGTCGGGCCTATTCTTTCCTGAAAGAGATATTATTCTGCTAAATTTTCTTCACAATTGGTATGAATCTCACCTTTACATTTTGTAACTGTAGATATATGTCTTTGAATGCAGAATAATGAGCCATGATTATATTTATTGTAAAGTTTGAGTAAATGCACTTCATTTCATCATTAGCTAACAACAATAACTGGGAGGAGTATCTTCTTAGAATAAATTTTCTTGCTAATGACCTTGTTTTCTTACTAATGACCTTGCCACAAATCTTCCTATTAGCAGTAACAATATTTTATATTGGCTTAAATGCAGTTTTGACCCCCTAGTTTAAGGTTTTTGGAGTTTCGATCCCCTAGTTTAAAAGCCAGATTTCTAGTCCTCAAAGTTTTCAAATTTGGGATTTTTGAAGCCCCCTCCATCTGGCTGCCCAAAAAGTGACATGACACAGGGAGAGTAATGCCACGTATTATTATTATTATTTTTTTTTATTTTTTTTTTTTAATTTTTTTTTTTTTTTCTTCTCCTCATGAGCAAAATTAAGGTTCGAAATAAAGACTTGAATTATGCTCTTAGAATTACTTATTCTGTATGTAAAATTTCAAGAAACTTTGTGTTAACTAAGTTAACCAAAATACACATTGTACTTACAAGATACATTCACATTATCAGATATGAAATTTCACTATCCACTTCCTTATATTTCAGATTGCTTTGTAATATCAACTCAGTTTTTCTTTTGATGAAATCAACCTCTAAATTTGGCATGAGAATCTAAGACAAAAGTGTCAAAGGAATTGTTAATAGTGACATAAACCTAAGTTCAACTTTTCTTTGTTTTCATTTTTTTTGACTTCTTGGTTATTAATTAAGAAAAACAATTATAAGTTGTCTTATGATTTAATAATTTATTATAATAATAATCACAGTAAGATTTTTCTGTTGCTAAGTAGTCTTTGCTCATTCTCACATTATATATATCCTCTTAGTCCTAAACATTCTTCCTATGAAGTAAACAATTGGATTTCTACATTTACTCTTTCAGCCAGCACCAACTTTTGACTTGAGTTATATAAAGCAAAGTAGCTTCTCAAAAAGTCTTAAAAGTTCTCAGCATGTATTGAAAATAGTGTTTACTGGTCAATGATAAATCTTAAACAAATAATTATTGTAATAAATTTTACACAAATTATAAATGTTTTTTATTCGTCAAATATTCAAAAACGGGAAATGTGTGTTATTAAACAAATATTTATTAACATGAAAAAAAATATTATTGATATAAATATTTTTATAAACGAAAAAAAAGTTTATCGTTGATATAAATATTTTTATAAAATGAAAATTGTATATTGTTGATTGATACAAATATTTTTATAAACGTAAAAAAAATGTATTATTGATATAAATATATTTATAAACAAGAAACAATGTATTGTTGATACAAATATTTTTATAAACGAAAAAAAATATATTATTGATATAAATATTTTTATAAATTGAAAAAAGAATATTGTTGAAACAAATATTTTTTTAAGAGTAAAAGTTTAATGTTGAAAAAAAATTATATAAATGGAAAAAAGTGTATCGTTGATACAAAAAAATTTATAAACGAAAAAAAAGTGTATTGATACAAATATTTTTATAAACGAAAAAAATATATGTATTAAAAAAGTGCGCGTATCTCAGCAGAGAGATATATATTACTATTCAAATGAATATAATATATATTACTATTCAAATCCGAAAAACATAAATGGTTATATTCTAAATGTATTTTTGTTTTATTTATTCTCAAGTCATAAAAGTACCAAAAGAAAACAAAAATCTTTATACCCTGGAAGTGTAAATAATTAATAAAAGAACTTTCATCTTTCACTTAAGAAGTTAAACATGAAAAATATATTCTTAAAAAATTAATAAATTTATAACAAAATATCTGTCATTGATCAAAATATAGAAAACCATTTTGAAAATTGGAATAAATGTTTTTATTAATTTAAATATTTTTATAAATAATATTAAAATAAAATTAATATTTACGTATGAAAAAATATACGGTTGATCCAAATATTTATATATATATAAAAAAACTATATTTATGTTCCAAATATTTTTCTTTTAAAAAAACAAAACTTTGTTAATTAAATAATTTTGTCTTTATGTTCTTTCATTCTTATTATTTTTTTGAAACAATTATATGAATAGATTTAAAATTATATGGATGGTATGTAATATATATCAGATAATTGTTTTATATAGAGAGAACGTTATGTATATTTTGGTAAAAATAATTAATTAATTTATAAATCAATTGAAAAATAAAAAATGTACTTATATTTACTGGTTTAGTAAAGATTTTGCCGCAGCAGTTGCAAGAGAAGGGTAATTTGAGGGTAATTTACTGGTTTAGTAAAAGATTAATCTCGAAGAGACACCTGTTTGCATATGGCAAAAACTAATATTTGCATACGAGAAAAAAAATTTATTATTGATCTAAATATTTTATATAGGAAAAATATTATTTATGATTTAAATATTTTTGATTAAAAAATAGTCAACAAGAAAAATATATTATTGATCTAAATATTTTTATATACGATAATTTACTATTGATTCATATATTTTTTTAAATAATACATAAACAAAAACAATATTTGCGTATGTGAAAAAATTTATTATTGATTTAAATATTTTTTATATACGAAAAAATAGTATTTCTGATTCAAATATTTTTGAATCAAAAATAGTATACGGGAAAGAATATATTATACGCTAATTTATTATTGATCCATATATTTTCGAAAATGATTCCTAAACAAAAATAATATTTTTATACGGGAAAAAATTTATTATTTATCTAATATTGTTATATAAGAAAAATAGTATTTATCATCCAAATATTTTTGATTAAAAATGATATACAGGAAATTATTTATCATTAATCTAAATATTTTTAAATATGAAAATTTGCTATTGATCCAGATATTTTTATAAACGATACATACACAAAAATAATTTTTGCATAGAGAAAAATCTGTTATTATTTAAATATTTTTATATATGCAAAATAATATTTATGATTCAAATATTTTTAATTCAAAAATGGTATATGAAAATAATCTATTATTGATATAAATATTTTTATATATAACAATTTACTATTGATCCATATATTTTTGTAAACGATATCTAAAAGAATTAATATTTATATACGGGAAACGATCTATTATTGATCTAAATATTTTTATATATGAAAAAATATATTATTAATCTAAATAATTTATTAACCTTTTATTTAAAACAAATATATTATGTAAATAAATGCGCGTACTATGCACGAGTTTGTTACTAGTATCTATGTAATTTAAAATATTTTTCAATATTTTTCATGGTTTTTCGGATGTCATTAGAAGTGGAAGGGATAAATCTTTCTCTTTAATTTTTTCATTCTTTAGCATTAAATAAAGAATTAATAAAATATAAAGAATTAAATAATATTATAAGTAATGTTAATTGTGATAACATTTCTAAAAATAGCATAAATATAAATATCATGAGATTTTAAAAAATGACATACGACAAAATTTTCCAAAAATTCATTCTGCATTATTCTATTTAATAGATTCGGTGAAGTCAAATGAGAAATTATATAGTGGGTGTATTTAGAAGATAACTTTTAAATATGAATATTTTTGGGAATTTCTCTCACTACGCCAAAAATAAGTTTTAGCAGCACACATACGAAAGCGCTTTTAGGTAAAAGCGCTGCTGTAGGTTTTAAAAAAAAATCGCTTCAAAAAAGCGCTTTCAAAGGGTGCCTAAGCGCTTTTCAAAAGCGCTGCTAAAGGTCACCCTTAGAAAGCGCTTTTTGAGAAGCGCTGCTAAAGGGTGCCTTTCAGAGGGTACCTTTAGAAAGCGCTTTCAAAAAGTGCTGCTAAAGGTTAGCCTTAGAAAGCGCTTTTACAAAGCGCTGCTAAAGCTGGCCTTTAGAAAGCGCTTTTAAAAGCGCTGCTAAAGGATATGCTACGAAAGCGCTTTTACATTAAAAAGTGTTGTTATAGGTGACCTTTAGAAAGCGCTTTTAAAAGCGCTTTCGTAGGTAGTTTTATAATAAAAATCAAAAATTCGTATCATCACTTTTCTATTGTTCTTCACGAAATCTTCAAATCCCTAAACCAGAGCTCTGCCGCCGTTAGCATCTACGAAATCTTGTTCAGGACCACCGCCTCCGTTCATCAGTACCTCTGCCTCCGTTCATCAGTACCTTCGCCTCCGCTCATCAGTACCTCCGCCTCCGTTCATCAGGACCTCCGCCTCCGTTCTAGGTATGTCAATTTCTAGTATAGTTTTGTATGAATAAATTGTTCTATGCTTGCTTTGATTCTAATTTCTAGAATAGTTTTGTATGAATAAAGATGTGACTATCTTCTAATAATTCTTTTAGTTAATTCGATATAGGAATTTTGTGTAGCATTACTTTTTTCTATAGTGGTAGGGGAATGCATATGTGTTGGAGTT